AACAAATTAGCAGTCATGCTCTTGCTGGCCTTTTAACTGTAGTCATGTAGCTTAAAAGGGCCAATTATGGGGGGGGGGGGGGGTGTCTTATGTTTCAGTCCCCTCTTATGAAATTTTGAGTTTCAGCAGTCTTTCATCAATGTGTGGAGACATAGAGTAGGTAGGGACAGCTAACAAAGTGTTTTCAAGTAGAGATAGTTACTGCTATACAGAGCTGAATTTAAACCTATACAGTACTATATACAGTTGTGACCAAAATTATCAACCCCCAATGCTGTAAAGGGGTTTAGGGACTATAGTGTACATTTGGAATTGTATTCAGAATCAAATCCTACAAGGACGTTTTGTAAACTACCCAAATGCAACTAAAATGACATCAATTGTTTATGTAATACAGTAGTAAATGGTTCTTATGGTTGGTTTCTTCATTGCCACAATTATTCAACCCCTTAAAGACTACCACTCTGAAGAACAGAGGTTTCATACAGGTGCTTTCCATCAGGTATTGAAAACACCTGTGGATGTCACCGAGCAGCAATCAAGCATAATAAGCACCAATTAGGCAGCTTTAAAATGACTGTGATACTCAGCTCCTTCTAGGACATTTACTGGTGTGGTTACAAACATGGTGAAGGCAAGAGAATGGTCCCCAGGAAGACAAGAGAAGAGGTGATTTCTCTTCACAGGAAGGGCAATGGCTATAAGAAGATTGCAAAGATGTTAAACATACCAAGAGACACCTTAGGAAGCATCATTCCGCAAATTCAAGGCAAAGGGCACTGTTGAAACGCTACCTGGTCGTGGCAGAAAGAAGATGCTGACTTCGACTGCTGTGCGCCTACTTGAAGCGTAGAGTGGAGAGAAGTCCCCGTGTGACTGCTGAGGAACTGAGAAAAGATTTGTCAGATGTGGGGTACAGAAGTTTCAGCCCAGACAATAAGACGCACACTGCGTAATGAAGGCCTCCGTGCCCAGAACTCCCAGGCGTACCCCCTTGCTGTCTCCAAAGAATAAGAAGAGTCGACTGCAGTATGCCAAAAGCCATGTGGACAAACCACAAAAGTTGTGGGATAGTGTTCTGTGGACTGATGAAACAAAAATTAGAACTGTTTGGGCCCATGGATCAACGCTATGGTTGGAGGAGGAAGAACAAGGCCTATGATGAAAAGAACACCTTGCCTACTGTGAAGCATGGTGGAGGGTCAATCATGCTTTGGGGCTGTTTTTGCTTCTGCAGGTACAGGGAAGCTTCAGCGTGTGCAAGGTACCATGAATTCTCTTCAGTACCAGGAGATATTGGATGGAAACGTGATGCAGTCCGTCACACACCTGAGGCTTGGGAGACGTTGGACCTTTCAACAGGACAATGATCCCAAGCATACCTCCAAGTCCACTAGAGCATGGTTTGCAGAGGTAAAAGGCTGGAACATTTTGGAGTGGCCATCGCAGTCACCAGACTTAAATCCGATTGAGAACCTCTGGTGGGACTTAAAGAAAGCAGTTGCAGTGCGCAAGCCTAAGAATGTGACTGAACTGGAGGCCTTTGCCCATGAAGAATGGGCGAAGATACCCGTAGATCGCTGCAAGACACTTGTGTCAAGCTATGCTTCACGTTTAAAAGCTGTTATAACTGTAAAAGGATGCTGTACTAAGTACTAAGATTGAATGTCACTTGGGGGTTGAATAAAACTGATAATGCTGTGAGCACAGAAAAGACATTTGTGGTTATTTCATTATAACTGTTATGTTATATTTGTCTGACCTACAAGTGCCTCTTTAATGTAAATGTAAGCAAGATGACTGAATGATCAAAAGCAATGTCAAACTGGCCAAAACACTCAATTTCAGTGGGGGTTGAATAATTTTGGTCACAACTGTACTATACAGTGTTGTACTATGCTGCATTACAACAGAGCACATATAAGAGGTTGAGCAGTGGCTAACCAAGATGATCCTCACTGAGCAGTCAACTGATAGTGACCTGAGCTGAAGCAGAAAAAGCCAAAATGTTGCTGCATTGTGAGCGAAGCAGCTGTCAAAACACAAGCTCATGCACAGTCAGAAGCACAAGTTGCTCATGCAAAAGCATAAGCTGCCCAATTTGTGCTAAAAGCATATGCTGACCAACCTGTGCACTAACAGAGACACAAACTACACAGGTATGAGTAAAAGAAAAATTGGAAGCTGCCCAGACAGTAAAATAAAGTATTGAGTACAAGGCCAGAGAGAAGAAGTTTTCTCAGTCAGAAGCCCAGAATAAGCGGTGGAGGACAGATTTTCTGAAGGAAGGAAAATAATCTACAGCCTCAAAACTAAGCTCACAGCCTTGGAACACACTGTTGAAAAAGAATTTCATTGCCCCATTTTTAAGGCCTCTGATGACACTGCAAGATGGACCCTGAAATTCATTATAATCCCGAAACATGTCAACACAATTTCACAAAACATTTTCAATCCTAGTATTTTCAACCCAATACATACATACAATCAAACACACATTGGACAATTTTCTATCTCCCAAAATTCTAACATCCTATGCAGTAACACATGTGCCATAACAGACTATCCCAAATCCTACTGACCAAATCACGAAAAAAATTCCAAAAAACCAGTAACTCAGTTCTTGAGACCCACATCTCAAGAACCCCAGATGTCAAGCCTTCACCTGGACTGAACCCAACCACTATTTCGTTTCTCTCACCAAAACATCAGGTATTGGATACCCCCTAAAGCAACAGGTGAAGGAGCACTTGTCATGACTAAGTCTGAAAAAGATATGATACATCAGACTTTGCTAAGCACATGACTCACACAACTTTACTATATAATATAAATACAGACCTTACAAATTGACAATTACCCAGCGATCTAACTGCAATTATAAGTTTCAGACTTAATCATAGCATCCCACCTATGCAAGAACTGATATGTTGATAAAATGGCTAAAAAGACTTAAAATTGTTTTGCATCCATGAATTAAAAGGCTTTACTCTAGCATGGAAAATTTCCAAAAACTGTGTAATCATCTTGTTGAGTTTAAAATTGCCAAGGAAGAACTACATATACCAGGTCATAGCTACCTAGACACTGCACATGGTGTAAGCATCTATGAAAAAATGGGCAACAATGGGCTCAAGTTATAAAGAAGAATGTCAGGTCCAGGGGCGGACTGACAACTCATGGGGCCCCGGGCAATAGTGTCAGGGCAGGGCTGTGGAACGGACAGGTAGGCCTAGTGGCAGGGTAACGCACTGGCTGACGAACAACCACCACCAACAGACCGACGTCCCTCAGGGCGCGGAGTCTAAGTCCCAGGCTGCCCTTCACCAGGGCCCCTGATGGTGGGGATGGACTTGACGCAGCCAGGAACCAGGTCGCGGCCCCTGAGACAACCCCGGCTGCGGGTAATGGCCGCCGCCAATGGCGTGTAGCTGGTGAGAATGACAATAGCGTAGTCAGGCAAGCTGGGTCAACAACAACGGGACAAAACAGTACAGAACAGTAGACAGAGAATCACAGGTCACGGGCCGGGGTTCAGCAACGGAAGGTCAGATCGAAGGAAAACACAGAGAATGGTCTAGTCACAAGCCGAGTCAAATACCAGAAGAGTCACTAGCATATACACAGAGCTGTAGCAAGACAAAGACACAAGACACAAGTGCAAAGAGCATGTGCGGATCACAGGCTTATATGTACTCAGCCACACCCTCTGGGGGATGGACCTCAGAGACCTGAAGGCATAAAAGCTTCCCACCATGCTCAGCATAAATCCAAGATGGATGCCAGCACATGGAGTAACATAACCTCTGGGAAAAGGTAGGACCTTGACAAATAGGGAATCATGGGGCCCCTGTGTCCTTGCCTAAACTCAAAAAAGCCTATGAAAAAGGTACCAGGGGTATCTCATGGGGCCCCCTACTGACCCGGGCCCTCAGGCAGTGCCCGAGTTTCCAAATGGTCAGCCCGCCCCTGGTCAGGTCTCTTTTCCAAGCAATCCTAGCCCATCACCTAAAAGAATAGAAAAGTTCACCACTAAATTACACCTACTACAAGCAGCAACAGCAAGAAAAGATGAAAGAACCTAAACACCCATTGCCTCATTCACGACAAAGCATATGCTTTCAGGAACTATGCTATTCACCTCAGATGTTTTTTCTATCATAGGACACTTTGTGAGAGACTGCAAAGTTGTCATTAAGTGCTTAGAATGCAACAGTGACATGCACGTATCAATCTTACAACAAGACCCCATTTAAATGAGACTCTACAACCACTGTTCTTACACTTGAGCTAGATCATAATGGGTATAGCCACAAACAGTCACCTCCAATGATTACATCAAAATGAAGTGAGCTACATCACATAGGACTTACAGGTCTAGGTGTTTCCTCCAGGTCAGCTAAAAAAAAAGCTGTCAGGATGTCAAACTTCTGAAACCTTTAACAACTTGCCTACAGGGCACTTATACCCCCTTCCTGCCCAGGCCAATTTTCAGCTTTCAGCGCTGTCACACTTTGAATGACAATTGCACGGTCATGAAACACTGTACCCATATGAAATTTTTATCATTTTTTTGAGGCAGATAGAGCTTTCTTTTGGTGCTATTTAATCACCTCTGGGTTTTTATTTTTTCTTAAACAAACCAAAAAACACTGAAAATTTTTACAAAAAATGTTTTTTCTTAGTTTTTGTTATAACATTTTGTAAATAAGTGATTTTTCTCCTTCACTGGTGAAGGCACTGATGAGGAGGCACTGGTAGGTGGCACTGAAGGGCATTGACAGGCATCACTGATGGGCACTGAAAGGCAGAACTCATATATGGCACTGATATGCAGCACTGATAGGTGGCACTGATAGACAGCACTGACTGGCACTGAGAGTCGGCACTGCCTGGCATTGTTAGGTGGCACTGACTGGCACTTTTAGGCGTCACTGATAGGCAGCACTGATGGGCACTGATAGGCAGCACTAACTGGCACTGATAGGCGGAACTGACTGGCACTGATAGGTGGCACTGACTGGCACTGCTAGGCGGCACTGATTGACATCACTGATAGGTGGCACTGACTGACACTGATAGGTGACACTGAAAGGCAGCTCAGATGGGCACTGATAAGTGGCATTGATGTGCACTAGTAGGCACTGATATGTGGCATTGATGAGGCACTCATGGGCACTGGCAGGTGGCATGGATGAGCACTGACAGCTGGCACTGATGGACACTGACAGGTGGCACTGCTGGAGCTACACTGATCATCAGTGCCCTGATGATCAATGCACATGTCCCTTCTGAGGGATGCCAATTACTGGCTCTGCTCTCCTCTTGAGCTGTCATCATGACAGCTCGTAAGGAGAGAAATGCCGATAACCGGCATTTCCCTATTTACATGAGATCAGCTGTGATTGGACACAGCTGATCAGATGACCGAGCCAACATCTACGGCTCTTTCCCTTGATCGCACCACCGATCGCAGCACTGCGTGCTCCTGGAGCCGCACATGCGTGGTTAGATTGGGAGGACGTCATATGACGTCCTCCTAGAACGAGAGAACCGCCTTGCGCCCGTCATTACCTTATATGGCGGGCGGGATGCGGTAATGTAAAGAATGACATTATTTTGTAAATTTTTCACTACGCTTATGGCATGAAATCAAGTACCTACATATAGAGATAAGTTCCTTACACCAAGGTCATGTGTGTTCCATTGATATGACTAGTTACATCTTACCAGTTAATAATGCTGCCAAATTCATGCTTCTGCTGGGAAGAGACATCCAAAAAAAGTGTGTAAAATACATGAACAATGGTTATATTGATAGTATCTATGCCCAAAGGACTGAGCTAGGCTCAAACAGCATGCATATTTGTAAAACTATTGTCAAAAGAGTTCACAACACCCTGTTAATCCCTCAATACCCATGCTACGGGAACCCAAATGAGATGCCAATGCTGACAAAGAGAATTCTTGTGAGTGATCAAGTCTATGAGAAAATCATCTGACCTCAATGTTAGTGAAACATCACCTCAAACTACAACTGACATCAGCAAAATGGAAACTTCAACAGGTAACTAGGACTCTTACAAGATCCTGCACAACAATAGTGATGCTTGTGAATTCATGAAGAGTGTAACTAGTGACTCTTAAGTCACTGTCCAGTAAATACTACTGTGTTGCTCAAAGAGGACCAGCTGCAAATTCAGGTTACTCCTGTCATCAACAAAACAGTAATGCTTTTTTCACAAGAATCTCAATGAAAGCTCCAAAGACTAGAGATGTGCACAATGGCAAAATGTGTTTTGTTTCAGTTTCATTTGTTGAGTAAATTATTTTGTTTCATTATAACCCTTGTGTTAGGATGATTTGTTTTAGGAATGATTAGTTAATTTTGGAGAGTATATTGTATTTTCAGAAGTTCCGTTATTCTTTTGTTATTCCGTAAAATAGCCTGTATACCTGCTAATCCATCCCACAAAGAGAAATGGAATGAGCTGATTAGATTATATCAACTGGAGTCACATCAGGAAGACCTGGGATGTATAAGCAAGCAGGATAAAGGAACCATGTAAATTACAAGCCAAACCACAATCCAAGTGTATGACGCAATGTATAGTATAAAAAATATCACATATAAATAAATGTATTATTTATCTATTGTAATTAGCCATGCCTGAATGTATATGGGTGGAGGGTGTATATATTGATGTTGACAGGAAACAAGTACAGCTAATGCTAATTCTTCTACAGCTACTGCTCATTCCCATGCAGCTACTGCTCATTCCCTTGCAGCTGCACATTTACCAGCACACAGATGAGCTCAGGCTAATATCCAATGGGCACTGACATGTAGGCACATTTCTCTGTGCCAGCGCACATTGGTGCTGACATCCTTGCCCATTGGTGCCAACCTACCTATTTAAAGGATGTTCTTTAGCTTCCTATGATCTGTGTTCCTGTGTTCCTGTTTGTACTGACTGATCTTCTGTTGCTGACCCTGTTTGTTTCTGACCTTGCTCTGTGGATTTTGGATTCTGACCTTGGCTTGCCTTAGACTATTCTCTGCCTGATCTCCTGGTGCTGACCTTGGCTTGCCTCTGACTATTCTCTGCCTGATCGCCTGGTGCTGACCTCGGCTTGCTACTGGACCTTGCTCAGCCTGCTTCCCTTGTACCAACCCCAGCCTGCCTCTTGACCACACTTGTCAGGGATCCCGGCTCCGTCTGCCGCAATCGCGGCTCGGTCCCCCGCGCATGCGCAGTGGCGGCAGATCACGCCGGGACACAGGAACTAGGTCCCGGCGAGCCGCGGCTGACAGGACGCCGCGCATGCGCAGTAGAAACCGCGGGCGCGCCTCAGGCGTCCAATGACAGCCGGGGGCGCGTCCTAGCCAGCCAATGACAGTGCAGGGCGCACTATTTAAAGATGCCCTGCACTGTCACAAATTGCCGCAAGGTCTATACGTGATCCTGAATACCTGCTCCTGCTGTGACCCTGTTTTTGACCCTGACTACGCTGCCTGCCCCTGAGATTGACCCGGCTTTGTTCTGACTATTCTACCCGCTCCTGTGATTGACCCGGCTTTGTTCTGACTATTCTGCCTGCTCCTGCGTTTTTGACTCGGCTTATCCCGACTGTCCCTACGGATTGATTTACCTGGCTGACCCTGCGTGTGATCCGACTACTCCTAGCCCGCCGACTCGGTACCCCGCTTACCCCACGGGCCACAATCCGTACCACCCTGCTGGGGCCGCCATCCTCTTCACAGCTGGCTCTCCTGGTACCTACATACATCCCCGGAGGCCTCCTCGGCCGCTGGTGGCCCGCTCAGAGGTCGTGACCTGGCCCGGGACTGTTTCAAGTCCATCCCCACCATCAGGGGCCCTGGTGAAAGCACAGCCCGGGCTTAGACCCCACGCTGGGTAGGTCTACCAGCTGGCAGACGGAGGGCTCCGCCTGGCGGATCCTAACAACACTGCTGTCTCATCTTAACTACGTCCCTGACTGTGGCAGCCACCTGCTATGAAGCTACCAACACTCGTGCTTCTTTGAGTCTTGTACCTCTGTCACCACATTCAGGGGTACTCAGACCAGAGTCGCAAGGGAAGCCCTCTTATCAACTTAGCCTCCAACCAAAGTATGTGACAGAAACATCCAGCCATGTCTGAGGCCAAAAGAGTTGCTACCCTTCTAGAGACTCTGTGCCAACATATTGAGTCTCTGACCCAAGCTGTGAGAAATCTGCAGGAGAAATACTTTCAGCTCAAGGGACGGATACAGAACCTGACGAAGCCACCACCTTGGCTCCTGGCTCAGCTACAAGTGTAACTGCACCACCCTATACTTCTGGGAACTCTCAACCTGTGACTCCTACTTTAGTTATACCACCACCAGAACCTTGGGTGCCAACCCCTGAATGCTTTTCAGGCAATCGCAGGAAATTTTGTGCATACAAAAATGCATGTGAACTGTACTTTGTTCTGCAACCTTGAACTTTCTCATTGTAATCTGTAAATGTGGGGTTCATTATCTCTTTGCTGACCGATAAGGCCCAGGCATGGGTTGACTACCTCCTAGGAACAACACAATCCTGTCCTTAATTCAGTAAAGATATTCTTTGAATCCATGGCTCAACTTTATGATGATCCACAACTCACCGCTACAGCAGAGGCTGTGCTACATGCACTTCAGCAGAGTCAATGGAAGATTACACCAGCAAATTTCACATACAGTGGGGCAAAAAAGTATTTAGTCAGCCACCAATTGTGCAAGTTCTCCCACTTAAAAAGATGAGAGAGGCCTGTAATTGGCATCATAGGTAGACCTCAACTATGAGAGACAAAATGAGTGTCTTTTATACTGATAACAAGTTCAAACAGGTGCCATCGATACAGGTAATGAGTGCAGGGCAGAGGAGCCTCTTAAAGAAGAAGGTACAGGTCTGTGAGAGCCAGAAATCTTGCTTGTTTGTAGTTGACCAAATACTTATTTTCCACCATAATTTGCAAATAAATTCTTTCCAAATCAGCCAATGTGATTGTCTGGATTTTTTTTCTCATTTTGTCTCTCATAGTTGAGGTCTACCTATGATGCCAATTACAGGCCTCTCTCATCTTTTTAAGTGGGAGAACTTGCACAATTGGTGGCTGACTAAATACTTTTTTGCCCCACTGTATGGGCCACTGACACAGCCTGGAATGATGCTACTCTTAATCATCAGATGGGCGTGTCAGAGACTTTGAAATATATACTTGCCCGACTCCTTGGAGGACCTGGTACAACTTGCCATTCAATTAGATTGCCGCCTCCAGGAAAGATGGTTAGAGAAATATTGCTCCTTTAAGCCAACATGGTTATTGTGTAAAAGACCCCCAATGAATCTCCAGCCTGTCCTGGGAGTGCTAGATCTGCTCAAGCCAAACTCCCCACACGACACATATACCAAGGGGGAGGTGCATCCAAAAAGAAGTCACAACAAAAAAAACCTTAACAATAAAGGATGAAGCACCTCAATGGCTAATGAACAGAATATATTTATTGGACATAAACAATAAACAATTCAGTGCATAAACCCATAATTCCCCTCACAACAGCACACCCCCACCCAAAGCGACTCCCCCCACACACCTCCTTTGTTCACATCACTGTATTCAGAGCTTCAAAAAGGACATATAGTTGGCACTAGACAGGTCCAGCCTACACCTTGGTAGCTGATTGACTCTGTAGTCCATGGGCCATAGAATAAGTCCATCATTCAATGTAACAGGTAAATGGAACAGTCCTGACCTGATATCTTCTATTAAACAAGCTTATGCAGTCTGCCCTGAATCTGACAGCACCGTTCATCAGAAGCAAGAGGGTATGTAGTGGCACAATAACAAAATCTTTGTTCCACAGAAAATTTGTCCATGGGTGCTCAGCATTTTTCATGACCACCCACTGGCAGAGAATTTTGGGACATACTGTATAAGACATTAAAGTTGATGCAACGTTCCTTCTGGCGGCCAAACCTTAGCCAGGATTGTAAGGACTATGTGAGTTCATGCACAAACTGTATTTGTGACAAGGGCAATTGATCTAAATCATGGGGCCTACTTAAGCCACTGTATAGGAAATGATTTCCAAGGACTTAATCATGGACCTCCCTCCTTCTGGAGGGTTTACATACATCAGAGACCGTTTATCCAAGATGGCCCTCTTTAATCCTATGATTGGCACTCCTACAGCTTCAGAGAAAGCACATGCCATTAAATAAGTAGTGCAGTTACATGGGGTACCAAGGAGAATTGTGTCTGACAGAAACGTACAATTCACTTCTAGATTTTGGAAATTGGTCTACAAAGCCCTGAAAAATTAGATCTGCTTATCCTCTGCATACCATCCTCAGAGTAATGACCAGACAAAGAGTACTAATCAAACCCTAGAGCAGTATCTCAGATGTTTTTTGGCCTT